AAATGTATCTCAGGCCTAAGGAACAGAACCTTTTGTCTTTCAAGGAAGAGGAAAAAAAATACATCTGATTTTGTGAAATGGGGAGGTGCTTCAAATGGAGAGGTGCTTCAATAAAGTGAGAATTTGACATAGGGTCTCCCTGAATAATGTTAAATATTTCATTAAATATGAAGTTAATAAAACCCAATAGAAAGCTAGAAATAAAGGAGGGTGTTATCAGTTTCTAACCAGGAAAACAGAAGTCACCCCTAATACATAAAACAGAGGGAATTTAATCCAGAGAGTTGATTATCAAGTATTAGAATTGTTAAGAAGCCAGACAGGGAAAATTAGGCAACCCTAAGGTCAGCAACAGCAGGAAGTCCCACTTACCCTCAGGATTAGAGGACATTAGTGGGTTTTCCAGAGCCAAAATGTGAGAGTACCCAGCAAAAGCTCAAGTCACAAGCGGGGTTTCCTCACAGAAGGAAACTGTAGGCTGGACACTGAGGGAGCAGCTGTTTGATGTGACCTGGATCCAGGGAGAAACTGTAGCTACTGCCAAGAGAAGAAGAATGTAGAGAGAAATACTCTGACTTCTTTCCTCTTGCTCTCCAAATTTCCTCCACAGAGGCAAAGCCTGCTGACATTGCAGTTTGGAAAGGCAGCCCGCAGAGCTCTTCCTCGCCCCCACCCCCCCCCCGACCCCCCACTAAACAGAGAACAGAACAGAGCAAGAACAGGGAGTGCATCAGATATAGCAAACAGGCTATGGACCAGCGTAGCATAATGGGAAACTATGAGGGATTTGTTTTTCAGTTTGTTCAACAAAATTGTGTTAGTGCCTACTGTGTATCAGAAATTCTATTCCTATTGAGAATACAAAGATAAATAAGAGAGATCTCTATATTTTCATCAATAAAACATTTCAACACCTCTGTGTGAGCAATGTCACCTAATTAGGAAATACACTAATCAGATAAACTAATCAGATAGGCTATAAGAGGCTTGGAATTGGGAGAAAGGTCTGGGGGGGGTCTCCTGACAGGCAAAGGGAAGTAGGTTATCTGGTGAGACCTCTGACCTAAATATGGATGGAAATATAAACGCAGACATTTGGAATATCTGCCCAAGTTTTGAACGGCTTCAGTCTTGGCCCCTCTCTAACTAATGGGATTGGTAAGAATTATAAACCACTGAGGTCAGCATGGCTCAACAAGTTGCCCTCTGCTTTGGAGCCAAAGAGACCTAGGTATGAGCCCCAATCTTGCTCTTTAAAGGTTCCATAGTCTTGGGCAAGTCATTTAGCCTCAGTTTTCCAATCTTCCAAAGAGCAATAATATTAACTCCTTTAAAGAGTTTTTGTAAAAGGCGCCCGGCTAGCTCAGTTGGTAGAGCATGAGACTCTTAAAGAGTTTTTGTAAAGATTATATGTGATCATATAGTGTTTAGTTAAATGCTTGGGATGTAGTAGGGGCTCAACAAAAAGAAGCTGTTCATATCTTAAAGTGAGTATATAAGGAAAAAATACAATTACACAATGTTAGTCATTAAAACACATTATGTTTACATATATTTACATAAATATACTTTGTGAATACACATACATAATATAAAGAGTTCATTTCATAATACAATGTGTAATCATAACATTTTGAGTGTTCTTTTAGAAAAATTGAAAGGATTTATAATCTTTCAGGAATCATGAATATCTTTCATTTAATGTGTATCATATGAAATTTAATTATTCATTCTATAACCTTGATAATAGGCTTACTTACCCATTACTAATGGATTTCAAAATATTTCTATATTCCAGATATCACTTACATAAATGTTGAATTAATACTCACAATATCCAGGACTTTGTTATGTTTTATCTTTGTCACACATGTTGATAAAATCATAACCTTGGATAAATCCAACTATTTGTCACCCATAAGCCTGAATACCTGCTGTTAAATTGGGCAAAAGAAAAATGCACATCCATGCTAAGTGGTCTTATGTTAACTTTTTACCATAAACCTCAAGTGAGCCCTTAAAACTGGTAGGCAATTATACTATGCCTATCATTGCCAACTCAATCCCTCTCCCGGTCTCAGACAACTATTCAAATTTTTTCCTCTCTCTACAAACCCTCAACAATTCGTCCACCATCCTTATTCTCAGATTGATGACCTTACTTCAAACTTTTCTGAGAAAATAAAATTAATCACAGGACAGCCTGCACAGAGCCTTTCACCACATCTACCACCCACCATCTTCTGCACCCACCACACCTCCCCACCCACCAGCACCTGCATTCACAAGCTCTGCCTCCTGCCTGATACTGGGATAAGCTTTCCAACCAAGAACACTCCAGAAATTCTCCTCTCTTCTTCCAACATAGTCATTTTTTCTCTCTCTACTCAATCATTGGCATTACTGTATATACATGCAGTTATTCCTTCCATCTTAAAACATAAAAATCAAAAGAAAATTATCTTTGCCCTACTTCCACTTTACTGAATCACCCATTTATTTGGTCATCTTTGTATCAAAACTCCTGGAAAAAGTTGACTATATTCAACTTTTTTTTCTCTTACCAATAACTTAAAACACACTCCAATCATGGTTTTGTTTCTCTCACTCCAAAGAAACTTCTCTAGCCAAGGACATGAATGACCTTCACATTGCCACATATATTGTATAATTCATGGTCCTCATCTTAACCTGTCAGCAGCATTTAGCACAGCTGTCACTCCTTGATATGCTCTCTTAGCTTCTGGGACACACAGTCTCTCCATTCCTCTCTTTCCTCAGTGGCCCTTCTCAGGAAGGAAGCAAAAAACCCTTCATCTTATCCTTGACCTCTTAATGTTGGAGTATACCAAGCTCAAATTAGTCCTTCCATCTTCTCTATATACACCCACTCCCTTGGTAATCTCTTTCTAGGCTTATGTCGATGATGATGCCCAAATTTATACCTTCAGCCAATATATTTATCCCAAAATTTAGATTCAGCATTCTACTTAGAGATCTTAAAGACATCTCAAGCACAACATGTCTATATGGAACTCCTCATCTTTGTTCAAAACTTACTACATTGACAGCCTTCCCATTTCAGTTGATAGCAAGTTTATCCTTCAAGTTGCTCAGGCCAGAATCTTCAGTCATTCTTGACTCTTTTCTTTCTCTCATGCTCAACATTCATCCATCAGAAAATTCTGCTGGCTGTACTTTCAACATATATCCAGAATCAATTTTATATCCCATTACCTCCATTGCTACGACACTAGTCTGAACAAATATCATTTCTCACCTGGGTTGCTCCAATAGCATCTAATAGGTCTTCCTGTTTCTACCTTTCTTCCTCTACATTAGCAAAACAGCAGCTGAAGGGATCCTTTTAGACCTAAATCAAATCATGTCACACGTCTACGCAAAATCCTGCAATTGGTCCCCTCTCACAGACAGCAAAAACCAAGGTCCTACATGATTTGACTCCTGTTTTATCTTTGACAATATTTCTACTATTGTTCTTTTGCTCCAGCCACACTGTTTAAATAATAAATATCTGTTAAATCAATCCCAGTTTCCAAGGAGCTCATACTCTACTGGGAGAAACAGAGTTATATTAATGATTGCAAACAGAAGGTAGTTATTAGAGCTCTCCTCTATCTCCCATCCTAAATTCTCACAGGTGAGCTTTGAAGGTTGAGAAATTTGCCAGGGATGGGAGCAATGTTGGAGAGCACAGGTAAGAAACAAAGATATTTCAGGCAGGACAAATACTGCATTTGCAAAGATCTGGAAAAATGAATCAGCAGAACATTTAGAGAATTACAAGTACAGCATCAAAGAATAATATTTGAGATTAGGGGACCTGGATGCAGGAGGTAAAGAGAAATAGAGTTTACACTTTAGATAGGAGTCAGATCACGAAAGACTTTCCATTTGTTTGTTTTTTCACTTACAGCTTTCAAGCTGCTCTCAGAACAATTTATTAACCATATCTTTGTGATGCACCCCCTCAAAGGGGCTAAAGCAATACTTGGAAAGGATTCTGAATTCCCTGAGTTAAAGATACAAAAGAAAAACCTAGAGTCACATTTAATTTGACAAGGTAAAGGAGTGGGTGTGCTACTATATCAAATTTAATTTGTACAAAATCATCATCTCTGGTAACATTATTTTTCCTGATCAACTGCATTTAGACTACTTTAGTAAGGCTTGATCTCCCTGTCTCCCTAAACACTGATTCACTTACAGCAAGCTTAAGGCTAACATTGGTCTTATTAATACCCAACAAATCCACAAGGTGTTAGTTGCACATGATTTTGTATAAAAGGTGAAGTGAGACTTGACTCAGTATACAGCTTTCCCCAGATAAGGCAGCTAACCAAAGGTGAGTCTTGGCACCTACAGTTAACAAGTGGTGACAGTTACTTTTGAAATTAAAGGTTTTTCAGGATCTGGAGAACAAATCTAGACCTTTTTCAACTACTGCTGTGTAGATGATTTATACATGTCAACCTGGCTTCTTAAATATAGTTAATACACTGTAGTCACTGTAAGCAAACAACTGAACTTTATATAGACCAATTCACCTGGCCTCTTGAAATAGTCTTATTTTAAACAAAGGTGAGCAAAAGCAAATGCTAAAACTGATGAACCAATTTTATAGTATAGAATTTCCTTTTTATTTTTAAACAAAAATGGTCTTTAAAATGATAATGAAGGGACAAACATGATTATCACAATTACCATCCTCCGAATAATCACTTAAATACTCTGATCTTTAAACACTGCTCTGCTTAAATCACTATATTGGAGTTTTGATCTTAATATGGGTCTACTTGATTAAAAAAATGAAGGAGAAGAATAAGAAGAAATGTTTGAGAAAGAAGTAAGGGAAGGGAAAAGGAAGGAAAAAAATGCTGGAGCAAAATGTGACTGGGGAGGATGGGCAGATCAATTATTTTTGCTTTGGTCAACTTACATGATTATAATTTTGGGGGGCTTTTTGGTTTCTCATGAGCCTTAATTGTTTGCTTTATAGCCCAGGATGAAGTCAGTCCAGTTTTGCTTCCTTTTCTGCTGCTGGAGAGCAATCTGCTCCAAGAGCTGTGAGCTGACCAACATCACCATCACAGTGGAAAAGGAGGAATGTCGCTTCTGCATAAGCATCAATACCACATGGTGTGCCGGCTACTGCTACACCCGGGTAGGAACTCTGCTTTGCTGGAAGGGAGGGTGCTAAGGGTCTGTCCAAGGCAGGCTTCGTTAATTCCCACTTTATGAATATTTTAGCTTTCCCAAGTAATAGCCATGAGCCCCTTAGTCAATACCGTCTGTGTTATGATTGGGATTAAATACCATGATATCAGTTAGATGTTTGGGCTTGGATTTGATTAGGGTAAATCTAGCAAAATGTCAGATTTGATCTGATCAACTTGGTAATATGCCAACTCTGCACTTCCAAAAAAAAGTAGTGCTATGGTAGATTTTACATATAGAGAGATAAACATGTAAACATACACATATTTAATAATAGAAGATCTACCATATTCCCCAAAAGCCATTTTGTGTAATTGAAGCCATATCTTTGCAACAGAGATAGTATCAAAATATATTTTTCCAAGCCACATGAAAACACAAATAGACATATTATAAAAATTGTTTTATTCACCCACCTGATTACAAATGGCAACAAGCAGCCTCAGAACACAATCCATACTTATGGACTGTTAGAACCAAAATGAATCAGCAAACCTACTCACTTCTTCATGCCATTGAGAAAAGCAAGGCACAGGAGCATAAAACCACTAGTTTGTTTTCACACAGTTTCTTTGCATTAATCCAAGTAAAGAGTTTCTACTTTATTTTCTTTACTTTTTTCTCCTATAACACCTGGTTATCTATGCAAAATTTCATTCTATAAACTGAAACTGAAAGTAACAACTTTTTAATGAAATATATTTTACTGGATGGTAAATGAGTTTGATCAACAGACCCGATATTGAAATAAATTAAGCAGCAATGCCAATTTCTTCCCTTGGTGCAAATAATTTTACTAGAAACTGTTGGAACAAACCCGTTCCGCCTGGATTAAAAGTTCTCATATGTAAACTGTGTATACTTTGAAACTGAGAGCCCTGCAAAATATATAGCATTTAAGGGTAGGAAATATCTACAAGACAGTGGAATATTTAAAATTTTCCATGTGACTTCATGGTCATGTTAGGTATTGACATTTCCTCATGTCTTTTGGCTTTTTATAAACACACAGGGACAATGTATTTGGAAATATTTTCTGAGAAATTGAAATTCAGTGTTTTATGGTTCATGTTGTCATTAACATAGCTTTCGACTAAGTACAGAAATCAACTTAAAATTCCTGCTATAGCTCTATTTCATCATTTTTCTATGTTGACATTTAAAGTTTCTCTATAGTTTGAGAAACATTTAAGATTTGATATAGACATAAGGAGCAGGAAAAGGAATGACATATATTCTGTAAGATTTCCAGAACCAAGAAATGTGGTATAGCATATAGGACACTTATGAGATCATATTTCCTTGGTTAAGAATTCCTTAAGTGAGATTTAATGGGTAATTGCTAGAGCAAGCAGTATTAAATTCCCATCTCATTTTGATTATGCTAAATAGAAACTTCCAGAATATTTTAGCCTAACTCTCCCATTTTTAAACCCCACAGGATCTAGTGTACAAGGACCCAGCCAGGCCCAACATCCAGAAAACATGTACCTTCAAGGAGCTGGTGTATGAGACCGTGAAGGTGCCTGGCTGCGCTCACCAGGCAGATTCCCTATATACCTATCCAGTAGCCACTGAATGTCACTGTGGCAGATGTGTCAGTGACAGCACTGACTGCACTGTGAGAGGCTTGGGGCCCAGCTACTGCTCCTTCAGTGAAATGAAGGAATAAAGAGCAACGGACATCTCAGGTGACTTACCCTTGTCCTGAAGGACCAAGATATCCAAGAAGTCTGTGTGTGTACATGTGCCCAGGCTGCAGACCACTGGGGCCCAGAGAGCATTAGACCCCCGATCCCCGCTCTCTGGGCAGAGGAGGAGCCCCAGGAATTAAGAATGCTGGGGCCAGGATCCTATCACCTCTCAACACTCCACCCTGTATACCTAGGTCTGGAGTCCATAAATTTTAATCAGTCTTATTTAATTTACAGACACGTGGGTGCTTTCCTACCTGATAATCTTAGAAATCCTCTCAGGCAATCCCTTCCTCTTAGAGATAGAGTTACCTAGGCCCAGGGGAAGGAAATGAGATGGGAATGGGTCAGAGGACTAAATACAGCATTCTTCTTTTAGACTCTGGAGCCCTCAAGAGTAGAGCCAGCATCTTCGCGATCGTAGTCTCAGTGCCTGGCACCGTGCCTGAAATTTATTAAGAAAGTCAACAATGGCTTCCTTAAGGAAAGTAAAAATCAGAAAGGTAAAGGTAGGAAACACCAAAAGAGGATGTTGGAGGCTGGCTGATGAGGCTGCCCTCAGCACTGCCCATCAGTCCATGGAAGCAGGGGCATTAGCTCCACCTCACCTCTCCTCCTGTGTCACAAGAAATACTGAGATAGGCTTCATCTTGCTGAATCACTCAGTGCATGTGAGGGTTACCAGAGCTCAGAATTTCTAAGCTATTACTACCAAGCCCTTTAGTTAAGGGCAAAAACAAGAAATGTTAATATGGGCTTATTTTCCCAGGCCCACATCTATTTCATCATTTAAACAAATTGAACAAATACTTTCAGGTTTCTGCAAAACTCCATTTGGGAAGTAGGGGAAAAAAAAAAACAAAAACTGTATCACCCTGCCCTCCAGGCTGGGATCCACTCCTTTGTAGAGAGGTGGATGTTAAAGTAAATTTGAAAGCAATTTTGTCAACTTAGTAAGTACATTTATCTTATCTACAAATACATTTGTGTAAAGAAATAGCTTTTTTTATAAAGAATTAGTCGGGGGGGGGGAACTGCCTGTTTTCTAGAATCCTCTGTATATCAGTCTTTTCTTTTGTCTCTCCATGTTCTCCCAAATCGGGTTCTTTCAAGAGGATAAATATTAAAACTATTTCATGAGTTGATTTCTTTTCAAGGTGTTACCTTTCTTAGTTATGTACTTGTTTCATACTCATTTTGTTTAATTTATTTAAACCTTATTTTTTTAAAAAAGATGCTAGCCACAGAGTCATAGATTTAGATTTTTTCATGTATAAGCAAATGACTAAAATATGAATTACATTTATAATATTAGTAGAAAGAATATTAAAAATAATTCCTAGTTATTCTATAATATTTACTTGTCCTCACCTTTGGAAATATTAAAATTAATTTGTTGCATTTTTAGAAGTGTTTCCTTATTTAAATTTCCTGTCATTTTTTGAAGTCAATATATGATGGAATGGGGGGGAAAAAGGCAAAGAGAGAATCACAGAGTGGGTGGGGACACTGGAAGTACTCTAGTTCATTTCTTGAATTTTTGAAATGGAACAACTGAAATCTAAGGAAATTAATTGACTCACCCAAGAACTCAAAGACCATTCATGGCAGAAACAGGATTAGAACCCTGGCCTCCTAGCTCTTGGCTAGCTCTCCTGTGACTACTCTGCCATACTAAGAAGTCATTTTGGCAAAGACTGAAGCAAAATTGCACATATCAATAATCAAGCTATGCCCATTCAAATCTGGTACTGATTGTGGCTTATAGTTAAATTCTCCACAATATTTTGACACACTGAGATTAGGGCTATATTAACAAAGCTTAATAAGAGCTTTAAACTATAGCATAGTGTTTTCCTTCTCCCCATACTTTTGGAAATCAAAATAATTGCCTTCCCATTAAAGGTAGTACAAGGCAATGGCTCCAGAATTCACCTGTCTTAATCACCTTGTCCAGATGTAGCATCTTAAACAAGTTACTTAAATTCTCTAGATCTCAGTTTCCTCAGCTGTAAAATGAGGATAATAATATTATTTACCTCAGAGGGTTGTATTGGTGATTAAATGGGATAGCACATGTAAAGGACTTAGAACAGTCAGTGCCTGGCACATAGCAATTCCTCAGTAAATACTAGCTGTTATGCCATGAGAGAGACAAGATGGTATCAAGATAGTAAATCAGACTTAAGTAAAACAACATAGCTTAGGCTCTTCCTAGTAATATTAGGCAAGCTATTTAACCACTCTGGGCATCACTTTCCTCATTTTTAAAATGGAGCAAAAATGGTAACTATCTCACAGGGTTGCTGTGAAGATTAAAAAAGATAATTAATGCAAGGTGCGTTAGGAGTCCAACAGAAGAACTATAATCTCGATGTAGAGAGACTTCTACAACTTAGCTTAGAAGGTCAAAATCAAAATGCTAGGAAGAAGCAGCAGTTTCTGCTTGAGGCACCCCCATGCCAAACTGAAATACAACAATCCTTTCTGAAGCAGCAAGAAAGAAAATTTGTGAGCTCTCAAAGTGCTTGTGAAGAAAAGGCCTATCCCCATGGGTCACCATCTTAGTTGAAGCCCATATTATCTCTCCTTAGCACTACAGCAAAGGTCTTTCAACCTCTTAGCAGTCCTCACATGGCTATAAGAATAATCCGTCTAAGCCACAACTTTGGCCATGTCTAATAATGAATGAAATTCCTCTGTGTTTTCAGGATAAAATCTTAATATTCAGCTGATACATGAAGCCCATCATGGTCTGATCTGTGACTACCTCTCAACTTCCTATCTCCCTGTTCCCTCATTCCCAAGAGGCTGCTATACCTAGAGACTGGCTATGAGGGTTGAGGGATGAATCCATGCCTCTCACCCCTGGAATGCTTTAACCAGAATACCATGTCTTTCCTCCCACAAGAGATTTGGCTAACTATGGTGGAATTCAATAGTGCTGACTTACTGACCAGTTTAAGTAATAAAAAATGTGACGTCAGTGCGTGAGAGTCACAAACACGGAGTTCATGATAGTGAGGAAGGGTAAAGAGGAACAGAATTGGAGGAAAGTACTTAAGGAGCCTCAAACTACATTTATAATGTTTATATCCTAAAATAAATCTGAATCACAAATATGGTATAATGTTAACATATATAATTCTGGGGGAATGCTGTACAGGTGTCCATTATATTCTTTCATACGTGTGAAGTGCTTGCTAGTTAACAAGTGACAAAGTATCTTTATATGCTTTGTACATTTAATCCTGATTTTATGCCTATTATAAGAAAGGCAAGATGGGCCCTGAGCCTACAGTCACACAGCTCATGTGCAAGGCTCAGTCATTAATATTCATTTAGGAATTGAGGCAGAGAATTCAGTATGGTCACCAAGATCTATGCCTACTTCTTCCTGGCTGTAAAGCTGGACTCCATTTCCCAGCCTTCCTTGCAATCGAGTTATATCCATGTTCCAGTCAATGGAATGTGAGCGGAAGTACTGTGAGATACTCCATATCTGGCCCATGAAATCCTCTCATAAGTGATCATCCATTCTCTTCCTGTATCGGCTGAATGTCAATACCCAGGATAACCTTGAAAGCTTTGCATTGATGATAACAGAGCCACTGTCAGCCTGGATTCCTGAATGCCTGCATTGAGTAATGTGCCCCAACATCAACAACCCTTATAGCAGACTGGATAGACTTTAGATCAGTGAAGAAACTTTCTATTGGGCTAAGCTGTTGGCATTTGTGGGTTTATCAATTAGGAAAAAATGCATTATTTTACATTTTGAATAATATATAAATTGGTACTGGAAGTAGAGTGCTGCATTAATAAAAAAAAACCCAGCATATATAACATTAGCTTAGTTGTTGTACAACAGTAATAATCAGAGTAAAAATTTCACTTGTAAAACATGAAGGCCAATCACATGCCTACCTACAGAGCCTTTAGCTTTAAAGAAGGGGTCAGCAAATTGGGGCCTGCAGTCCAAATCTGGCCCATCAACTTTTTTAAAAAATAAAGTTTATTGGTACATAGCCAATTATCTATGGCTATTTTTGTACTACAACAGAATTTAGTAGTTGTGACAAAAGCTGTTTATGGTCCACAAAGTCTAAAATAATTTACAATCTAGACCTTTACAGAAGAAGTTTGCCAACCCGTCCTATAAGGAAAAAGTTTGCAAAGAGTTCAAATGTTAATGCAATTGGCTTTTACTTTTTAGTTATTAAAGCGATAGTTTGTTTAGAAATAGACATGAAAAGGAATGGAGAAAGTCTAGGAATTTGAAGACTTGAGGTTTATAAAAGCTTAATGCTTCTAGATCCCAAATAGTAAGAGATAAAATGGATTTGAGGAACAAAGGTCTGTAAGTTTCAGTCCTGAGGTAAAGACAGGTTTAATGTGTGGTCTTCCCATCTAGGTCTTTTATCTCAGATAGTATCCATAGTAGAACCATTAAGTTGTAAGGAAGCAAAAAATAAATAAATAAATCCAGATTGATAATCATGCTAAGGAAAAGAACTTTAGATGTATTTATAGGCACCAGGAACAAAGAAAGTATTTGAGGGGGCTGATTATCAACAAAACCAAAAGACTAGACTAAAAATGCCTTTGATTATTTGAACAACCTTTGGGTCCCCACACTTGGTGAGCAGGAAGTAGGCTACTAAACTTGTACAACCCCAAGGAGAGCAACTCTCTGTAACTACTTCAAATGTTGCCATGAAAGATAATGGATAAGTAATAACCTTCAGGATGATGGAGGCAGGAGCTATGGAGAACAATGGACAAGGAAAAAAATGTTCCTCTAGAGAAAAGAATCAGCATCCAATTAAGGAATTGCCTCAACTGCCAAGTCAGCAGGATTTCACAAAGCTTGCCCAGTAAGATTTGATCGTTGCTTAATCTACTGAGCTGTGTCTCCTAGTCTTCCCTTTTATGAATGGTAGTGTTATTGTGATTAGTGTCATGGGGTGAAAGTGCCCCTACTTCATCACTGAATACTAGGTGGAGAGGGACAAGAAAGATAACTTGTCTTTTTAGCTCATGGATTGCCAGCACATGAGGA